CCCATCACACCTACATATACATACAACATGTATGTTCTTAAAAAAAAAAAAAAAAAAACAAGAAATAATGAATTACAAGAATTAACAACTGGCATGAAAACATTTTCCACATTTAAAGCATTTGATTTGACTAATAAGCATCAAACCAAGAAATAAGAAGACAACTCAAAGACCAGGTAAATTAATTAATTACTAAAAATATAATATATAAACACGTACTCCACGAGGTAGATCTATTCCAATTGTTCACACACCAATTTTATTTCTGCTAAAATATAATAAGTTAATCATATTTACAGAATCCAGTTCACCTGTAATCTTAAACCGTACACTATCCTCAATTCATTCTTTGTGAAATTTCTAGGTAGAAATAATATATATATATTTTTTTTTTCTAAAAAAAATTAAGTATAATTAATAGTTCCAAAGTTTGTAAGTTTCCTTTTTCATATAAATAGTCATTCCTGAATTGATTGTTAGTAATCTGCTTTTCAATTGAGAAATTATATGATGCGTAAACATGATATATATCTAATGATTGGTCGTAAAATTTAGTGATATCTTTTTTTCTCTTCAAATAATCAATAATATATCGATCACTTATCATCCAAAGCATGTAGGTTATTTTGAGCTAATAAGATCCAATTGCATCATATTAATTACATAAAAGTGATTTTTTTTCTTATTATCTTCAATTGTTTCATAATTTTTGATTGCACAAATTGCACAGAGATTTTATTCAAAGCTGTTTAATCTCCATATATTGGTTAGATAAATAATTATCTTTTATAACTATACTTATTTTAAAATAAAACTTTGATTTATTTTGTAATAATTTACAACTTCATATTTTAACTCAATACTCACAAACAGGTGAACATATTATTTTGGATATTAAAATAAATCTCTTATGATACACTTGTTGTTCGGTAAGTAGTTTATTTATTTAACTTATTTTAAAAAATTCACATGTACGAGTGTCTTTCGATATGAAATTTGTGTAATAAGTGTAACAAATTGCTATTCTATATATACACTAGCTAACAGTCAAGATCTATCAAGAAAATATAGAGGAAAGATGAGAAAATGCCTCAATGTCGAAGAGCTTCGTGGAGGGAGACGATTGCCTGGAGGGAAAATCCTATTTAGGGTTTCGCGCTTTACCGCTCTTAGGGACATTCAGAGAGCTACCACGATATTTATACCTCAAGTAAGGGAGGCACATTTACAACATGCTCAACTCCATCGTTTTATCACATGCTGAGCCAGTGTGCTGCACCTCTTAATCTTTTATGGATTTGTGAGCTTGAGCAATTAACCCTCCTCCGAAGTCTAGTATGCATTGACATTCCCCATCAAGATAGAGAGTATATATTTTCTTCTTCCATCTTGACCATGTTTCATTTGAGCAATCAACTGGATAAAGTCTTTGTGAAAGTATCTGTAAGTTATTGTATACTCCTCACATGTCTTGTTACCATACTTCCATCAGAGACTTTTTCCTCTAATTAAGAGATAATTTATTTCGATTTATTTAGTTCTCTCATAAATATATGATTAACAATTATGAATTCACATTATCATGATGTCATTGGATTGCAACCAGTGTTCTATTAAAGAATTGATCGAATATGTCGGCTCTTTTAGGATTCCGTTTAAAAACTCTAGTTTGTTCTTAATCCTCAACGCGTGTTTCATGAATTTAACTCATCTTTAATAGTTGCTCGCTTCGACCATTTGAGAGACTAATAGTGCGTTTGAACTCTCATTTATTATGATATAATACGGGCTATTAAGGTTAGAGAGATCTACAATGATCCTATTAAAGGGTGTATGATATTGGTCAGCGGTTGTTTGATTAGATTTCTAAATTTTTCATATTCGAACGCTCTCGTACCATTTAACAAAATGCTACTTTATGTACATATTTATTGACACTCAAGATCTATCAAGAAAATAAAGAGGAAAAATGAAAAAATACCACAAAGTTGAAGAGCTTTATGAGGAAGACAACCGCTTGAAAAGAAAACTATATTAGAGTTTTGTATTCTACCGTTCTCTGAAATATTCAGGGAGTTAGTTGAGATATTTATATTTTAGGTAAGTGAGGCGCATTTACACTCCATCATTTTCTCACATGTAAGGCCCGTGAGCTGCATTAACAATAAAACAAATAATTTAGAAAAAAAAAAAAAAAAACATGAATATCATGTAAACTTTAATTTTTAATAAATAAATGAAATTTGAGTATAAGACCAGATTTTGATTTGGCAGACATTATCCAAGGTGAGATAGAAATTCTTATCTCATAGTGTTTAAAAATTAAAGTTTTTGTACATATGTTTTCATGATTATTATAAGAAGATGTTTTTGTGAGAAGAAAAAGAGACAGGGAGAGAGTTTTGTGTTCCTCTTCTAACCTGGAAACCAGCTAGCGATTTCAACATCAAATCACCCACCCACGCCTTTCATTTCTCTCTTCCTGTCACCTTTTTAACTCCTTCAACTTATAAACATACATGTGACCTGTCTCTCTTTGCCTGCCTTCTTAATTACCATAACTATTTTCAAAAAAACAATACATACATACATACATATATATATATATATATACACACATACATATGTACAAGTATTTTCTTTTATCACAAGTTTTTTCTTATAATTGAGCTGAAGAATTCACGGAGAAGATTAAAAGCCATAATTAAAAGGTTATTCTCCAAAACACACACACATATACATACATACATATTCATATATTGTCTCGTAAAGTAGATGTAACGATATTTATCAATAATGAACCGTCCAAACTAATCATTAATACTGTTTGTCTTTTTTATTTTGAGACAGTTTTTAATGCATTCTCATTCTCCCGGACATTATGTGAAATAAATTGTGTGAAGGAAAAAAAAATATATATATATATATAATTATATACATACATGGGTAGTACAATATAAAAGTGTACATGCATATATATATATATATATATGTCAAACATAATTTTTTAGAAGATGCAGTATTAATTAACAGAGGCTAGCTGGACCGTGCAATTCGATTTAATGGTAATTAAACAATATTACATTAGCCAGGAAGTGTCCAATTATTGACTCGTTGATTCTCCATTATTGTCCATTCAAGTTTCATTATTTTGTTCTTGATAATCTCATAAAATGACAAATCTGTTTTTTATTTGTTTATAATCTTTTATTATATCTTCAGTTTCGAATATTCTTAATTATTATTTGAATTTTATTTCTATTGTAATTAATTATAGATCAACTAAATAATACAAAAAAAAAATATTCACAATGGAAAATTAGTAATTATTTTAATATCATATAAAAAGAAAACATATAAGTTATGACTTCTGAGTTCCAATTTTTTCATTGAATCATATTATATAACAACAAAAACTAATTTTTTTTTTTTTTTGGGTAAAAATTGATATTATTACATAATCACTACATATATAGTTTTGACTGATAATTAATAATAAAATAATTGTTTATCCATAATTGAATTAATTCTGTTAAAATTTGGAAATTTATTCTCAAATAATAATAAAAATACTTCATTTGAATTTTGATTTACTAATTAATTTTTATTTTGTTTTAATTTGATGAAGTAAAGAGCAGAAGAAGTGAATGTGGTGTATAGATGTAAAAAAGAGGGGCGAGAGGGTGCGCCCACGTGAAGTGTCCCCACAGAGATACTCCGTATCCAAGCGTGGGGCCCAAGCTGAGGCCCTGGGAAAGCAGGCCCCCCTCTGTATACTCGCACGTGTCTAGTCACTCCCTCGCACGTGAACGGCCACGTTTCTAGTTTTATTTTTTTTTTTATTTTTAATTTTGGTCCTATAAATAGAGAACCTGTATGTTATATCCTAGACAGACACTCTCTCTTCCCAATATCATCTTTTTAAATTATCTACGTCAACACAGAAGGGAGAATCTGTGCATGTTGCCTACAAAATCTTTAAAGCACATTCTGCACTTACGTGACTCCCCACCATAACATTTTTCTTCCTTCTTCTTCTTTCTATACAATATATATTCATTCCTTTGCATCCCTATGTGCATACATATCTGTTACACACTAACAATATAAAATGTATAAAATGCTTCTGCTAATCATCTGGGGTATATGCCGATTGATTATTGCGGCGGGATTTAGCCTAGACCCCATGAATCACTTCCTCGACGGTCAGCTAACCTTGGACCGGTCTTACGTGGAAGCGGCATCCATGGATTTCGGCATGGTGGGTAGAGTGGAGCCGGTGGCGGTTGTGAAGCCAGGGTCGGCGGAGGACGTGGCGAGAGTGGTGAGGGCGGCGTACGTGGGAGGACAGGGGTTGAGAGTGTCAGCGAGGGGCCACGGGCATTCGATAAACGGGCAGGCGCAGGCGGAGAACGGGGTGGTGATTGAGATGAACGGCGGCGGGGGAAAGGGGGGAGAGAGTCGGGTGTGGGAGAAGGAGAAGTATGTTGATGTGTGGGGTGGAGAGTTGTGGATTGATGTGCTGAAGAAGACGTTGGAATATGGACTAGCTCCCAAGTCTTGGACTGATTATTTGTACCTTTCGGTGGGTGGTACTTTGTCAAATGCCGGCATCAGTGGCCAAGCTTTTAACCACGGTCCCTCAAATTAGTAATGTCAATGAGCTTGACGTTGTTACAGGTATATATACATATGTTTATGTATATATGTATTCCTTTCTTAACTTTTGTTGTTCATGGAAAAACAGCTAAAAGCTGTAAGTGCACAGGGAAGGGTGAACTCATGACATGTTCAAATCAAGAGAACTCAGAGCTGTTCCATGCTGTTCTTGGTGGGTTAGGCCAATTTGGAATCATTACCAGAGCTAGAATTCTGCTTGAACGAGCTCCCAAGAGGGTAATTTAATTTTCTTTTTGATAACTTTTTTTGCATGTTATGTATGTTTAGAAACTGATGTAAGTGTATATATATGTGTGTATACTGTATAGGTCCGGTGGATCAGGGTGCTGTACTCGGATTTCTCAGAGTTCACGAGGGACCAGGAATATCTGATATCCCTGAAAATGCATGGGCAAAAATTCGACTATGTTGAGGGTTTTGTTATTGTAGACGAAGGTCTCATCAACAACTGGAGATCCTCTTTCTTCTCCCCTCGTAACCCTCTGAAGATCACCTCTCTTGCTGCTCACTCTAATGGCGGCGTATTGTATTGCTTGGAGATAACAAAGAACTATCACGATGGAGATTCCATAGATCAGGTACTTGCTTCTTTTTACCCTTCCAAATCTTTTTTTTTTTTTAAATACATATTTTTATTAATAAATAAATGTATGATGCTCGAGGAAGATCGCATATCTCATAATATAATTGGCTAAAATAGAACTTAAGATATTCTTATTCTATTATACTTTTTAAGATTTTATATTTATTCGAGGTTAGTGTTTTAAGTAAGATCTCACACGTAATGTTGGCAATATAACCTACTATAAAATGCAATAAAAACATTCACAAGAAACCATGCAAAAAATCTTCTGTAATCTACAATCTCATCTATAACCTAAGATTGAATGCTACTTTTTCATTTTTATAATATATGATCAAATCTAGGCCGCCCATGAACCGTCCACCAAATTATTCTCCTCTAATTAATTTAATTTAATCACCCTTCTTTTTAATTTTAAATTAAAAAAAAAAAAAAAAGATAAAATTGATTGGAATCGAACTTATCCTGACAAAAGCAGTTGTTTGGTAGCAGCTTTTTTTTTTTCCTTCTTTTTTTAATATTTGTTTTTGGTACCTGGGAGTTTTATTGTTTTTATTTTTTTATTTTTTTAAAAAAAGACATCTGTTGATGGGTGTAAAACTTATTTTATTGCAGGAAATAGAGTCGTTGCTGAAGAAATTGAATTTTATTCCATCATCAGTTTTCACAACAGATATGCCGTACGTAGATTTCTTGGACCGGGTCCACAAGGCCGAGTTGAAGCTCCGATCTAAAGGATTGTGGGACGTGCCACACCCTTGGCTAAACCTTTTTGTTCCCAAGTCAAGAATTTCTGACTTGGACAAGGGCGTATTCAAGGGCATTTTGGGAAATAAAACAAGTGGGCCCATTCTCATCTACCCCATGAACAAAGACAAGTGAGTTTAATATTTCATTTCTGCATGCATATATGTTGACGTGAGATTGTTTCCATAACTTTTACCTTATTTGTATTTAATTTCCCCATGCATGCAAAAGCAAACAGGTGAAAGTACCAATAGAAAATGATTCACCCCTTTTGAAGTTTTAACCACTCCATTTGAATTTCTCAGTAAAAGTACAAGACCAACAACGGGTTTAAGATATAAAATAGGGTTTTCTGATGAGATGTGAACCCTAGGGTTTGTACTGGTAAATGAATGTGAATTTGGAAGGAGGGTAGGATAAGATTAAGATAATGCCATGTGGAAGAAGAAAACAAATGAATGACATGAACATAATATTTGTAAACAAGGCAGGGCCAGCCAGGATTGACAAAAACCTTTTGCCCTTTGTTGACCAGAACCCAACAAATGATCACCAAAGCCAGAAGATTGTGGTGTCAGGAGATCTTGTGTGGGGGACCCACCCAGTTACAAAAGAAAGAGACTTAACTCTCTTTACTTCCAGAAACCACCCTCTCCTGAACTCCCCCCCCCTTGATTCCTTCAATAACCCAACTAACTATTTTTATTTACAATAATGACAATAGAATAATCGCGCTCACAACTAAACAATATATGAACCAGTCATTATTAACCATTGGATTTAGAGTAGTTATTAGAATTTTCAGTCCTTATAAACTTACAATCCAATGGTTAATAGCTGATACTCTGCAAAACTTTTTTGTGAGTTCCTGCCTTCTCCAACGTTGTCTTTTTTTAATATTTACAATAAAGAAAAGAAAGAATTGCTACAGCTAACATTATGATATGGTGCAGGTGGGACCACAGAAGCTCCGTGGTGATTCCAGATGAAGACGTGTTTTACCTGGTGGCTTTCCTAAGATCGGCTTTGGACAATGATGACTTGGACTTCCTAACCAGCCAGAACCGTATGATCCTCAAATTTTGCGATGATGCAGGTATCAAGGTCAAGCAATATTTACCTCACTACACTACTAGACAGGAGTGGGTCCGGCACTTTGGACCCAAGTGGGATCAGTTTCACCAGAGGAAAATGCAGTTCGATCCCAGCAACATACTTGCCACCGGCCAACGTATCTTTAAGCCCTCCTCTCCACCTAGAATGGCTTCATCCTGATCACACAACACAAACCAGACACGTTTAGTTAGCCACATATACGCTACTGACTATATTACCAACCATATTCTTCTCCTTTGTACATAATCTCATAAACATATCACACAAGTAGATAGCTGTGGCCGTTGGAGGTGTACTAGGGTTTCTAGAGAGTGATTAAGCCAGCAATTACTAATTTGTGGGTGGGCCCATTACATGTGAAGCACTTGCCAATCTTGTACCAGCTTCTTAATAGGGACTGCCCCCCCTTCTTTCATCCTGCATCCTCTTATACAGCTGGCTCCAGTTGCATCTATCACCAGATAGACCATTGAATCTGAGAAACATTATTAATCTAAAATTGATAATTAATGAAGCAGATCAAGATTCCAAACAGTCTTTCCAATAATGAATTGAGAAGGATCTGATTAGATTGGGACAATTTGTCTGCCCAACCAAACAATTTATTAGTGGTTACAAAAAGGGCATAGCAATACACAAAACTGGTGACCTGTAGAAACTTTCAAACTTATCCATTTTAACAAACATGGTAGTACAAGCAACAGAAACTTGTAAACTTGCAGTATGATTAGCGTCGATCACAATCATGTTCTGTCTCAACTTGCTTCCCGAATTTCCTTAATGCAAGTGAATAAATTGTTTTCCTTTTCGCCGATGTTCCTTCAGCCACCAGTTTGACAGCCTGAAGCACAGTCATAGGTGAAAGTTATCATAACTAAGAAAGCTCATTCACAGCCCTTTGAGGCACACTCAAAAAGGGACTACAGATATCTATCAAACAGGCAGATTAAGGGCAGGCCAAATCTCCCCTTCTAATGATGAAATGAAATTTGGTAGCCAGCCAAAAAACGTTGCCATATATTCATAGAACTTCCTATTACTTTGCAGAAAATATGTTCACAACATTATTTACTCACTGCATTCTGTAAAATGTTTAAATAAATATTAATGAGAATGATCGTTATTAATATGAACTCACACCATCAACCACCCTGGTTGCACTCATTTTACAATCACAACCTTCAGTGAACCAATCTAAACACTAACCAGTGCTAATATTAACTTCAAAGAATTTTGCAATAGCACAACGTATAATGCTCTGTAACATATTAACTTGTATGTGTGAACTTAATTTTCAAGGGATAGGCCCCCGTTAGAAAAGCTATTACCTTAGAGAGACTATAACCCTGGGAGATCAGTTCTCTTAATTCATTTTCAAGCTCAGCCTCTGTCGGAGTTTCAACCATAGAGCTTTTATTTCCGTCAATCAAAAGTGTAATTTCTCCCTTTGGTTGGTGAGCTGCAAATGCTTCTTTGGCTTCCCCCAGAGTACCCCTCCAAAACTATCAAAACATAATCATCTTCATCAGTGAATCTTGTAGAAGAGTTAAAATAATTGAAAACTTCTGTTGAGAGAAAAAAACAATCACAAAAACAAGCCAACAAGGGATTGCTACCTATTTAAGAAGTTGCAAATTTGTCATGATGTCATGAAATTCCCTAGATCTTTATCAGAAGTAAGAGGACTACCCTTAAATAAATAACAAAGTGTCCTGAGCCATCTATCAAAGGGCCTCATGTTCCTTCCTGTCTTTCTAGATAAGCCACATGTAAGTCAGGAGCTAAGAGAGAGAATTCTTTTCTCTTTTTATTAAACAAAAAACACCCTGCCAATGCTAAAATCCAAAACAAAAAAGACCAAGTCACCAAACTCAATCCAGAAAATTCAAAAGCAATACGCACAAAACAAAAGGGTAATGGATACCAGAAAAGGTGACTCGGTTTCTCAGCCACCCTCTAGCACATATAGCTTCACGAAAACCTTCCCTTCCTTTCTTGAGATTAACAATAGTGAAATCCTCTCTTGCACCAAAACCAGAAAAGAAGATGCTTGGTTTTCATTTTTTTCTTTAAGTAGGCTGAATACGATTATTCTGTTCAGCTCAAATAATTTAATATGCCGATCTGATTACAAAGAGGATGGTCAGGTCTGCGGATTTGTAACAAGTCAATACTATTTAGTCTGTTCAGAGCAGTCTTCCACAAGAGACCTTAACACTAAAGGGAATTTCAGCTCTACAGTAAGCACTGGTGAAAGTCTCATTAAAGGATAGAGGGAGAATGTGTAACGAAAGAAAAAATGGTGACAGATACTGTATGTTAGTTATGATTTTGTAGTAGAGTATATTAGTAAAAACAAACCTATGTAATTAATTTTAGGGTTTCCTTTTCTTACACCTAAATTGTGTATATATAGGGTCAAATTATTCAATAATAAACATCACATTCTATTCTTCCATGTATATCAAAGCTGTAAGAGAAAAAATTCTATTTCATTTTCAAACTCTAAACTGGAGTACATTGCCGGAATAAACCCTAAACATAAACCTTACCTCCATAGCGGAACTCCTCTCAAACAAACTCTGTTTTCAGCTGCAAACAGCCACCTCTTTTTTGGTGCTCTGTCCTATTCTGTTTTTGCGCAGCTCTGCTCTGTTTTTGGCGCTCTGCTTTCGTATGCAGTTAGTTTTGCTCTGTTTCTGACCTATTCTGCTCTGTTTTTCCACTCTGTTGCAGCTAAAGATACTCTGTTATCCAGCCTCCACCAAGCATCCTGCCTCTAGCTGCATCCTACAATGCTGCACGCCTTACTTCACCAGCATGCTGCAGCCACTTTCCGACCGGCCTTCATAGCCACAACCAGCCTTCATAGCTGCCACCAAGCTGCAAAAAGCAGCACCAACCAGCCCCTACTACACAGTTTGTTCGAGTTAGTTGTCCTGTTCTCTTTTGCTTCTGGTTTCCCGGACTACACCGTACCTACGCTATTTACTGCCACGTCCAATTAACTTCACAGTCCAGTAGATAATTCCGTCAGAAGAAGATTAAGAGGCTAAAAGAATCTCCTTGTAACTCTAGAAAAACCCATAGGTACAAGTTCATTGGCACATTCAAGTAAGTTCCTTCTTTCACATGGTTTAAAAATCTCAGGTAAATTCTTTGCAAACTCTAATTATTAATTCAGGAGTCACAGATCATATGACACATTCCTCACATAACTTTAGCACATATGCCCTTTGCCCTACACCAAAATAGCTACTTCAAATGGTTCACTAATCACTATAGCAAGGACCAGAGATGTTAAGATTAGTCTTTCAAAGTACTTCATGTTAGAAAACTTTCCACTAATCTTGTGCCAATAAATAAGTTACCTCATGATATGAATTTCAAAGTAACATTTCTCGATGTGTATTTCAGGACCATGAGTCAAGGATGATGATTAGACATGCTAAGATAAATGACAGGTTGTACTTCTTGGAAGTACCTGGATTTATCTCTTTCTCTTCTCTTTGAACAATCTAACTCCACTGTGGACAAAATTTGGCTCCATAGCTAAAGACTCGGACATCCTTCTTTTTTGGTTCTTAAAGTTATATTTCTTTCTTTGTTCAAAGGGTCAAATAGTGAAAATTTGAATTTTGATGTATATGAACTTGCTAAACATAGACAAGTAAACCTTTTGTTAGGAACCTGTCTTGATCTAGAAGAATTAAAGAAGAATTTGGAAGTATACGAAGGAAGAAGAAGAAAAGATTGAGGAGAATAAGAAAGAAGAACAGAAGATTTAGAGATTAAAAGATGAAGAAATAAGAAATCAAAGGAGAAAGAGTGTAGTTCTTGATTCAATTCAAAGGATTTCTGTTTACGAAAAATGTCTCACATAATCTCCATTTCCTTCTCTTTTACATTAGTTTCTCTATAACAGTAAATCAAAAATTACAACTAATTCCTAACTAATTTCCACTAATACAGGCAACTCAACTAATTATTTTTTAAAACCTAACCAATATTAGATTTTAGTCCTAACATTACCCTCCCCATTGAGGCATCCTTGTCCTCAAGGATGAATTAAGTAACTCATAGATTACCCAAGTCTTCATTGCCAATACAATTAATGCTGCCCATTGAACAAATATGAGACCATAGAGAGGAGTTGGATATTATGATGCCATATATAACAGTTCCCATGAATGAAATTTGAAATAATAGCCAATGTTATTAATGGGATATGATCTTGTAATGAAAAAATTTGGAAGGCATGTACCTAGACAAGCTTGATAGGAATGAAATTGGGTATCTACCTGTAATACTCTGTTCCCAAAAATAAAAAAAGAAATGATAATATAATTATTCTAAACTAACAATAAAGAGAAAAGAAAAACATATTAAGGTTTCACTAAGAGGTGGAGAGACACTCTCTATTAAAGTTTATTATTAAACTTAACGACTTGGAGATCGATGAGTTTGTGGCGCTTCTTCAGTTATTATCTACCATGCATTTGAATGATAAACAGGATAAGCTGGTTTGGAAACTGAAGAACAATGGGATGTTCACGGTCAACTCCTACTACAATCACTTAGCCAAGGGCAGTGGAGAGAATGTTAATTTTCCGGTAGCTCAACTTATATGGAGAACGAAAACTCCTCCAAGAATTGCTTTTTTTGCTTGGGAAGCGAGTCGGTAATGTATTTTAACTCTTGAGAAGCTGATGAGAATGGGTAATATCATGGCTAATGCTTCTTATATGTCTATGCAGACGGCAGAATCTTGCAACCACTTACTTCTATGGTGTCCAGTGGCGTACAATATTTGGACTATGGTTTATAGTCTTCTTGGCATGTACATGGGCGGTACCCCCGTTTTGGTACCTCTTTAATATAAATACTATACTTTTTATCTAAAAAAAAAATAGTCTTCTTGGCATCAACAGATAATTGCATGGTCGGTTAGAGAGAAACTTGGGACTTGGGGTGAGATATGTAAGAAATCAAAAATTGTAAATCTTATACCTCTTAACCATTTTTTGAGTAATTTGGAAAAAGAGGAACAACAAAACATTTGATGGGTATGTGAGGGATTTATCTAGAATTAGAGATAGGTGGATACATGCTTTTGGAACTCTAATGCTGGATCATGATCTCTATGGATGGGATGATTTTGGGAAGATTATTGATGCACTAACTGAATTGTAAATATTTTGTATATGAGGGACACCTCTTGGTGCCTTATACATAATATACATTATTTTTATTTTTTTTTAAAAAATTAATTAAAAGGCTATAAAACCTTAAGAATAGAAGAGAAGAAAAGAAAAAGAGAGGAGAAGAAGAACATGTTTGCAACAAGGTAAATCTCCTAAATTCTAAATTAGAACTCTGTTACATGATACCTAGACATAAAAGCTAAAAGAAGCACCTATACATATGTAAGAAGACAAGAATTGTTGTAGCAGTAGCGTTCTAGCCATGTTTTTTTTATTTTTTTTTGTCAATCTTCTGCAACAAATTTTATTTATACTCTACTTATTCTAAACTTTCTATAAACACTAAGGTTGATAAGTTGAATTAAAATTGATGAAGTTATGAATATCTGAAGTTGAGGATTTCAGAGAAAATGCAAATAGCACGATACTGAGATCTCAGCTGTAGCCAACTTTTGACTACGAAACTATTTTATTTATAATCTGCATATCATAAACTTTCCATATCCACCAAGATTTCATGATTTAGATTAGAATTGAGCAACTTATGAATTTTTGAAAGTTAAGGGCTGCGTAGAGTGTGAACCGTGTGATAGTGTGTTCTAGCCATGTTTTCAATTTTTCTAGCAATCGTTTGTCCACTAAACAATTTTATTTATAATCTAATCATCCTATGTTTTCTGTAGACACTAAGAATGTATTATTTGCATGAAAATCAAATACGTTATGAATTTTTGAAGATTTAGGATCTTAGAAAAAATATGAACCCCGTGGCAATGGGCTTCCGAAAGTGTTTTCAATTTTTCTGGCCAGTTGTTCGGCCACAAAACCTATATAACTATAACTTAGACATCATAAACTCTTCATAGATGCCAAAATTGCATGATTTGAATTTCTGTTTTCCGGTGACCTTTTTGATTGATTACTTCTCCTAAAGTATAGTTCTAGATGTCTAGTTTATGGATATTTAAGATGTTTTTTTTAGATATAAAAATATGATATAATCTACTAAATCACAATCATTAAATGGTTACCGGCCTATGTATAATAAATATTTATATATCAATTAAAATATCAATAAATTCTCCCAAAATCTTCCATTATGTAAAGAAAATGACCCATAACCAAAAAACCCAAAGTTTGAAACCATCTATTTTTGACCCTATCAAAGTCATCTTCCACCTCATGAAAACCTCTCTTGTTCATCTCTTTTCACACTATTCAAAAAATAGCAAGAGGAATGGGACTCACATGTTTCTTCGCTCTATTAATATCCTTCCAGGCCCAAATTTCTTCCCTCACGGAACTAGCTATCACCCAACTGATCCCAGTAACCCATAAGTCATAGTCCAAAATTTATACACAAGTGGGCACCAAAGAAAGATATGATTACAAGACTCACCCTCCCTCTTGCATAGAAAACATTCATTCACCAACATTCTCCACCTTCTCATCAGCTTGTCAATAGTAAAGATACACCCGTCACTTGCTTCCCATGCAAAGAAAGCAACTTTGGGTGGAGCAGTAACCTTGCAGATTTGCCGAAAAGAAATACTGGCATTTGTGTCATCATTTTTAATCAAATAATTATATAAGGACCTAACCAAGAAAGACCCTCTAGTATTAAGTCTATAAATTGGTTGGTCGTTGCTCCTGTTAATTGTAACAAAAGAGAGTGTATGGAAGAGAGTCTCATAATCATTAGTACTGTGGGAAGTAAGTGGTACAGATACACTATTTAGCTCCCTAAACAGACATGACATGATGCAAACATATAATAGAATATCACAAATGTAATGAGGAAAATAATATGCCTTCTTCATAGCATGGTACAGATACACTATTTTAACTCCCTAAACAGACATGATATGATGTAATAAGGAATACTAAAAAATCTACCTCTTCATGCAGTTTTGTTATTTCTCGAGCAATGACACATCGTCTGAAACATAGAGAGAGAGAGAGAGAGAGAAAATTAGGACCTGTGTCAATAGACATTTACCTCTAGGTCCTAGAGTGAGAGGAAATGGAAAGGAATCTGGTGCTATACATCTTGCAAGTATAACTATCATCATCTGCTTGTTGAATGATGAAAGAAAAACATCACAATATTCAATCACTTCTAAGATGTTATTAAACAAAAACTAAAATCATTCATGAATAGTCATCACTAAAACCATAGTTGATATTTAATTTTTCACTATAATATTTAAACATGTAGATTAGGTAGTAGACAATAAAGACAGAAAGTACATTAGCACTAACAATCTATGTTTAGATTAGGGGGAAAAGATGAAAGGCAAGGAAAGGAAAGGAAAATGTGTTCCACTCTCTTTGTTTAGAAGTTCTAAAATAGAGGGATAGGAAATGGAAGAGTTAACTTGTGTTTCTCCAATCCTTTAATTTTTGCTTTCTATGCAGACAGACCACTGCTATTTACAGTTCTTTACTCTGGAGACAATTTCTTTAGGAAAAGAAAGATATAGATTAAAATTATTAACAAGCCACCAAAAGAGTGCAATCCGGTATTTTCAAAAGAGAATTAAGCGAAATACCAATGAGCTCTGAAGATCTTCTCCATTGAGGAGAGAATGATCTTTAAATGAGAACACTATGTACCCCTCAAAACCTCTTAATTCTGTTTCCTTCCAAATGACCTGAGAGCAATAAGAAACACTAATTTTGTCCGAGCCTTGTCTGACCTTATACCATCTCAAGCTAAACCACTATAGCCCTCTTCAATCCACAACCACAGACAGGGGCCATAAGCCTCTTCTGCATCCTCAACATGAATAACTTGAGAAAGAGAGGTGTTTGCAGTTGCTAAATGCTAATCATAGCCCACTTTGTCTTTGTGACAATGGATCATTTAACCATTTTCTTCCACATTGTCCAAGGAGAAGAATGTTATGGGATTCAACTAGTTTGATGTGCATACATTGCGTGGTGAGCAGCTCTATTTCTTCTGAATTACTTGCATGGGATGGTATATAGGCTGCAAACATCTAAGTCAATTGCACTCATCCGCCACTACTGTTTAGAGATATGAAACAGAAGAACTTTACAAGGCCAGATGGTTCCAAACATTCCAGATTTCGTCCAAAGGTCATTCCCTTAACAGTGATAAAAATACTGGGACCTTTTAGATATTCTAGCTTTATCCCTTTTTGCATTCTGTTTCCTTATATACTTGGGTAACACCCCCTTGGTGCCTTTTGTTTATAATACTCATGTTTTCTGCCAAAAAACATCATTGAATGAGCAACAAACCACCCCTGAGCTGAGAAACCATAATTAGATCAACTGATATTCATCTCCATAGCCGTTTGGTATCCCTAAAGATCTTATATCTAGACAGCTGTGGATAAAAGGTTTGCTTGGTAGAATCCAATGCCGCCAAATAGTGTCTTCTTTGCTCATCTAAATTCTCCCAAAGAAAGTAACATTGAATGGGATCTAAATCCCTTGCAACCTTGCTTTGATGGAAATAAGAATATAAAATAAACTGGCAGGTTGCAAAAAGAGCTTTTGATGATTGTGGGTTCCCCATCTGGGAGGTATCTTCTCATCTAGCCATATAACTTGTTTCTATCTTACTGATGATGAGACCACAAACCCCCTGCTCACTAAACTCTATTGCTATCTATAGACCCAAATACTTGAGATGAAAATAACTAAGCCTACACGCAAAATACTAACATATGTTTATATAAATGTTTTTTATTATTAAAGATATTTAACTTAAGGGAGAATCATAGTTCACCCTTATAGCTTAGTTTACAGCCAAGTTTCAGTTCTACCCCTAATAGTTTAGGCTCCAAGCTGTCCTTGAATACCTTGTTCCATTCAATTCCATCTTGGGAACTTCTCCACCTCCAGCCAAGATAATTTCTTGTAAAATGGCCCAAAATATACAGTTCCCTCCTCTCTATTCAAGTCTTCTCCAAGAACCTCTCCCAACTCCAGCCAAAAATACTTCTTGCAAAATGGACCAGAGTACACAATTCGTCACAACAGCTGAAGATATAGTTTGTTTCAATCATTCTTCCATCTTTACTTTCGCTTAGCCTTTTGCAAATTACAGTCTTGCAAAGGTGGCTGTCACAGTCCCAGACTTTGGATCTGAGCATAGGGCCTGCTAGTATGAAATCCTGAAGCAAGTGAGCTACTTGCTTCCCAGTTTTCTGGCCTTGCAGGACTATGGTGAGGCTCGTCTTAAGAGAGATTCCAATCCTTTTGAGACAAACTCTTTGAATTCATAGCTTACTGACTTCATCCATGATAATAAATATATTTATATGGAAGCTAATTGAATTAGATCCCTATTGCAATTATAGGAACAATAGTTGTAGTTTTATTCCAGTTTCTAATTCAAATCTACTTATAATTCTATAAATTATAGTCCTTGTTTTATTCCAACTTCCTAATATATAGCTAAATCTAAATACTAGTGGAAATTGTTAAAGAATTATAACTCTTATTAGTTCCTTAAGGGATCTAACTTCCTACTTAACTAAAGACTCCAACTCCTCCTTTTTGTTGCTTCCATGTTTTTCGAGCAAATTTATCTTGAAGAACCGGCTGGGAATCCTTCTTTTTGTGTTATGCAACAGGGGCATGGGACAATTTCCAACTATTACCAACTTCCAGACACCTCTTGTTGCCTCTTCGTTTGTAAATTAATGGTAAACTCATTGTGGTGATCAAATCAGCAAGATGTTGTAATTCTATTTTTGCTGCAACAGTCTGGCAGTCTACTGACAAAGACTGGAACTTCATGGTCAATAATAAGAATGGAGGACATGCTGCCAATTTCTCTAATTTTTGCTGGTACTCCTTCCCCGAGTTATTTTGGCAAAACTTGGAGCATTCTCCCAATTGAAAGCAAATGTGGGAGGTCCAAAAGGAAGGTTGTATTGTTGTTTAAAAGTTGCCTCAATAATTTTGACTGGTCAATCTTGCTCAAGGAACCAAAGTTGAGCATCTCCTTTGATGTGGAAAGAAGTGATGCTAACTTTTCTTCATTGATCAACAAAATGCTCACACAAGTTGAGCCACCCCAGAGGATCTACATTACCATCTAAACGAGGGAAGTAAAAATGAGAATATTTTGGTGTACACCTGCTCCCTTCAATTACCCTTGTTTGTCCATTATTTCTTCGCATTTCTCTCCCTCAATTTATACTTCCTTTGAGTGTCTCTCCCATTTGCCTTGGTGGCTGAGAGATTCATCCATAGGATCTCTAATTATTCAGAGCATTCTCTCTACTAGGGCTATAGCATGGCTTGGTCCTGCTCAGGTTCCAGTTAGGCCCTCACCCAATATTCTTGATACATCTTAAGGAAGCTTTTGAATTGTTCTTGGAAGGCTTAAAGACTCCTATATCCTCTGTTCTAGTACCATGTTAACATGGTACCATATTGGGGATTGGTTTATAAGTGAACTAAAGCTCAAATCTCAAATCAAGTGGGCTGATTATTTTGAAGATTTCCTCCCTTTGCAACCCATAATTAAGATTTATAAGGGAACTAAAGCTCAAATCTCAAATCAAGCAGGGTGATTAGTTCGAAGATTTCCTCCCTTAGCAACCATGATTAAGATTTATAAGGCAACTAAAACTAAAATATTGAATCAAATGGGCTGATTATTTTCAAGATTTTCTCCCTTTGCAAACCATGATTAACTTCCATAAGTATTGTTTAGAAAGCATCCTTCAATTTAGTGTTAGGCGGTCTGAAACTATAAGATAAACAGCTTGATGCTGTACCAGGTACATATATAGAGAAGAGCTGATTAGTCTCTTCTAGAATTTAGGATCTAATTTCCATGATTTAGTACATGTTATAACTCGTAGGTACTGTCAATAGCCTTATTCAAATAAAATGGGATTCTATCACATTTATTTAAATAAACTTAATACTAGATCAACTACCTGGCCTATCACATACCTAAATGTTCCGTTGGGAGGCAACCTTAGAAGTAGGGGTTTTTGGGATGGATAGTTTGAACAAATTGGTCACGTGTTTGGAGTATCGGAAGGTGAGTTTTTCTTCT